TTTCTTACCTTCAGTCATTATTTATATTTATTACTCACTGAGTTGGAGTACTCACTTTACTCCGTGCACCTCGTGTGCAGTTGCAGGTATTTATTCACCCGGTAGCTGGTATTGGCTGCGTGAAGGTAGCGTTGTAGAGGTTTTAGCGAGGTGACTGTCAGCGTTCGCAGCACCACTGTCTCTCTATATTATTCATTATTCTTGTTCAGTGTATTTCTAGACCGTAATGTGGAAATTTCATTCTTATAGATGCTCGTGACTTGTGACACNTCTGTAGTAGCTCATGACTTGTGACACCCCGGTTAGGGCTGAGTTGGGTTAGATTTCCGTATTTTATCTATACTTTCCGCTATTGGATATTATTAAACCATGTTTATACTATAATTGTGTTAATTAATTGTCTTAAAAGGATGAATTGGGTTGAATGGCTGGCCTTGTCTTCATGAGAGGCGCCATCACGACCAGGTTCGGGAATTGGGTCGTGACACGAGTTCCCGTCGCGGCCCATCGATTTGGGTCGTGACAAGACCTCTCTTCACCCACATCCACTGTTTTCCCGCTATAACAAGTATTTAGGGATTTCACCAAGAGATGGACCATTTCTTGATCCACATAAAGACAAGTAATAAGAAAATCAAAATAGAACAGTGGTAAAGGAAATTCATATCATGATTCATGAAGACCATTATTCGTAATACAAATAATAAGCATAAGGTAGTACTAGCACACATAGGCAGATCTATGTGTAATATTGAGGGATAACCGGACCCCGTAAACTTCGGCAGAAATCTTGTATATGTATATCTGTGAATCTTGAAAATGGTTAATTTAAATCACTTGGCACCCTAAACACTAAAAGCAATTAAGGGGCACTGGTTGAGTAGAATATTGTGCCCCCGTTGCGTTATGATCCTGATCCTGGGTCCGCCTTAGAGCACATTTGCTGGTCTCTAAGCTTTCATTTGGATATTGGCCATTCTATCATCTCTTTTTCCCTTCATATTTAAGAATTAGATTTGAAGCCAAATGAAAATGCAATAGTGTGTGATGCCACTATCATATGCTCATTCGGCAACAACTTCGGCAGACAAGAACAGAGTTTGATCATGAATTAATGCTCCTGGAAGGAAACTGGAGTAAACGCATGGAAGCCATGACACAGTCTAAGTGCTTGGGACAATAAATTCCCATTGCTCATCCACCTCATCGTTTTTAGAAGGGTGGAGATGAGCATACTATATATACACTAGTTTAAGATATTGATTGCACATTTATAGCGCCATTATTCCATTCAAAATGGTAGCCTGAACAAGTTTAGTTCAGTAGAGAAATATCATGAAATGCATTGGTTTGCCTTACTTTTACCTGTCAGGCCAAGGGCATTTCTCTGACAGTAACCTTTGGTTTCAAAAGCACTTGTATACAAGCATTTGATACTACAAAGACAACAAACAAAGTTTTTTCAGCATCAAAGGAGTATCTGCGTTACGTTGAAGGGCATGTAAGAATGACAGTACTGAAGGATTTCGAGCATCAATAAGCTAACTAATTTCAATGAGAGCAGAAAGATCAAACCTGTGACTATTTGAAGTTCCATTAGCACTTACTATTGTCTTCTACCGTCTTCATCGGTAGCTTTCCATGCAAAATTCTGAACCTACCACAAGCATTTTAAAACATGATAATCACACACTCCGTTCCGTTATGGGTTTGTGATGGTAATACAGCATAGCCTTGACAAAAAATTAAATAACCAAAATGTGCAATAAGGAAGACGTTAAGACAATCTCTCATAGTAGCCCACCACTTCCCTGAAGTAGTTTAGGATAGAAATTACGATCAAAGATATGTAGATTAACTGCAGCACTCCAACCAAATTGGCGTACCGCCATAAATTATAGGTACCAGAGGGGACCATGGCCAAAGAACTAACATAATCTACGATATGCTTTGGGTTCGTTCCTTTTCTGACGCTCATACAAGCTGCATGCTCTTTTTAGTTTTTAACAATACACATCTCAAAAAGAACATATATTTATACACATAAGCACGTGTCTGTTCATCCAAGCTTGAAAAGCAACCACAGAAAGTGCAGGGAGTTCTAGGTTTATTTCGAAGGTTACTGTGCTGTAATTTTCATTCCACCAGAAGCCAATGCTATATTTAGGTGAAGTGAACACCCAGAAATCCGCGAAAATAAAGCAAAAACAAAATTCTTTTTTCTTCTCTCGGAAATAAAGCTGCCAGGACTTGCCCCGTCAGATCAGATCTAGTATAGAAAGATAAAGTTTAGACATCAAGAATGATGAGACCTTGTCCCACTATCTGATTTTGCTTTGGCTACAGTTACAATGTTAAATAGAAGGGTATCATTATTATGGCTTTACGAGGTGATTAAAACATCAAAGTCGCTCAGAGTCCATTCTGCCACTTCATCTTTGTTGCTAACAAAAATTTCAGTCCCCACATCCAGAGATGTCCATATTCTTCTAGCAGGAGGTGTACCTGGATCCTGCAGCCAAAAAGAGCAAGGACTGAATCATAAAGGTTGGTCTGGCCACTTGTTATTTAATCTTGAGCATTAAATGCCTCGTGCATTTCTGTCTGATTTAAACATGGTTTTTGCACCGTATTTTGAGTAAAGTACCTGATAGAAGTAAAGTCTGCTGGAAAGGGCACCAACGTCAAGCTCCCATGTTCTTCCATCCCCAACCCAGCCGTCTCCTTGTTTGGTTGGATAGCCGTAGTCTGCCCATATTGGATGAGGCAGCAACTGAACTAGCTCCTGTGCTTGGGGATTACTGTAAGGATCACATGTACTATATGGCTTTTCCAAGTGCTCGGCGTTCCCAGGAGCACAATAATAGTGATAAGCTGAGTAAGGGAAGTGAGAGGTGTCATTCCTGTAGATTTTAGTATTGTTCGGTGTGATGTGAAAAGGTGGGCAGTTGCCAATATTTGTGGGGCTGCACCAAGCTGGAGTTTCTGGATTAATGATCATCTCGCTGTATCTGGTAATATCAGTGAGCACATCTCCATCACATGGAGCACCATTGTTCTTCCAGCAGCTGCCAATATCTATCAAGTAAAACTGGCTCTTCGGTCCTCCCCCTCGCTTCACATCCAAGGTCAATTTGACCTTAAAATTAGGTGACTCCGGGAGCTGAAATAACAATAATTGTGCTGTTATCAGGAATAGCATTGAAAAAACATGAAATTCTTCAAACATTAGAAGAAAATAAAATATCTTTTTTCTTCTTCGTATTTCATTTGTAACACTTGGTTTAGAAAGATTCTTAATAATCTTGCCACCGGATTTCCTCGATAGCCATATGTATATCAATAGTATTCTCAATTCTCTGCTAATACTACCAGATAGACCATTTATATAACGAATTCGTGTCAGGCCCAACACTCCCCATGCTCTCTACAGCCTACTCATCTCTTTATGGTAAACCCACCCCCTTAATCCTAATAAAGTATTAGCTTAGGGTCTCCAAGTTCCATCGTACTAACTTCAAAACTGACAGCAAAAAATGCAACCCCAGTAATGGCGTTAATTTTTAAATGTACCCGTCAGAGGCCTGGTGACAAACCAGGGAGGTTCACAATTAAATCACCTGCAGTTGTGCTCGGAATTTTAGTGGTAGAATAAGACATACGACTAATTGATCATGGTGTCAACAGCCATTCAGGGCAGGCCTATTTGCTCTAATGTGGACAGCATGTGGCTGGGTGACTTCTACTAATTCGGCTTTCAATTAATTTCCTCTTGAAATGGATTTTTTCTCTTTTGATTTCTTATTTCCTCTTTCACGTAGGCAGCCAGAATTGACATTAAGTTGATGATGAATCAAGTTTGCCCCTAATTGTAAGTAGATTTTTAATGTCAGGCATCAAACGTTCCCTGATGCATCAAAAAAAAAAAAGAATCTTCCTGCAGAGCTTCATGCTCTATTGTTTAACAATAATGCTAGTAAAGGCAAACATAACTTGGAACCAATAGATATTTATAAGGCCTTTTTTTTTATCAATTTTCACAATCAAAGTGGTGAAGTTATCAAAGCAAGCAACCACAAATCAGTTTTTCGATTAATTTGAATGGAGGGTATAAAAACATATTCTAAGGACAAGAACAGTGAGCTTACAGTTTTTAACATTCCTCTGGTATCGTAGTGGTAGCCTCCAGAGAACCCTTTGGTCGCGTCCGCCCTAAGATACAACATCAGCCATGGATACAATTTGGAGGTTCTGAGTTTGTGCTGAAATACCCAACCCCCTGTGCCAACTTTCTTTTCCCAGAGCACCTCAAAGAAGGAACTACTGCCACCCGTTGAAGAACCCAAATCATAGGTACCATTAAAACCTCCCCGCATAATATCATCGGCTAATAATGAAGTGGGCTGGTGATACAAGATAGGTTGATTCATACATCCTTTCCCAAAACAAGGAAATCTTCCAGGATTAAAAGGGGGCACTTTTTTCCCATTTTCTGGGCAAAGACCAGATTTTGTGTCATAATTTCCGTTCTTCAACATTATCATCCAAAATTGCCATGGCCTCGGCGTGTCATCAACTTCACACAATGAACCAAGATAGAGTTCCTTTTCAACAGCATATAAGTCCGGATTATTCTTAGCCTTAGGACTCAGGCCAGGGAATGTCTTGCCAACTCCTAGCTTATTATCCGACTCGGTTACCTTGTGAGTCAGAGAACTGTCTACACATCACACAATCATTGCAAAACATAACAAAAATAGATCAGATTATAGGGTCAGGGTCTACAAAAATACAACCTTAGTAGCTTAGATAATCAAATCCAATACTCCCTATATCCCAATTTATGTCACTTCCTTCTTTAGCATGTCCTATATTTAGAAATAATATAACTTTAAACTTCACATTTTATGCTCTTTTTTTACTTTAATCCTTGCAAAAAATGGGTTAAATTAAATTACCAGAAAGATGAAAGCAATCAGCAGCTCTAGGGCTACCCATTCCAGGAGCTTCTTCACCAACTTCATTACAAAAGTTCCAAGCTTCTAAAGCTATCCTTAAGCCATCTGTTATCATTCCTGGATCTCCAACAGCTGAGGAATGACCACTCTCTACTCCTTTACAAATTACAAGCACTAGCCAAATCGTCGTTAATAGCAACGGTGAGAAATTCGCCATGGCGGCAGCCTGTACTTGCATTGCATGTACAAGGCAAGGGCAGTAGCTGGACTATTTAAGGCTACTGTTTTTGTAACCAAGTCCAAGTATCTATCTCTACTCCCCCACTGTTTCGGTATTTTTGCTTTATTGAAAAAGAGAGAGAGAGAGAGAGAGAGAGAGAGAGAGAGAGAGAGAGCGCGGGATCCAAATAAAGGAAAAGAAACGCGTTTTAAGGGCTTTTTGCGTTTGGCAGCTGAAAGTGATAGTGACCGGAATGCCAGTAGAGCCGGTAATTACTTTCGCGCTTGTTTGGCTCTACTTTCCAAATTTACTTATTGTATTTTAAAAAGCTTTTTCGTAAATAAGAAAATTGTATTTTCGTTAAGTGATATGATATAGTATTTTAAAAAAGTACTTCTGGATAGTGGCAATTTATATTTCTCCAAAATCTTTTAAAAAGGATTTCATTAGTTTTATAAAAGCATTTTACATTAGCTACCAAGAAAAAAGCAATTTACATTTGGCATTTTTTCTAAAAGTGCTTTGGGAATTAGTATCATTTAGATAAATAAATGATTTGGAATATTTGTTAATCAATGATTTTAATTGAATTTTCTAATTTTATTTAATTTAAATGTACAAAAATAAAATTATAAAATAGAGAGGGAGCATGTGTTATGAGATTTTGATCCTAAACGAGTTGTCGACAATGCATCATGATATGTGTTTTTTTCTCACATAATTTGGACTGTTCGGAAATAAATAAATATATATATATTTAATGATATTATTGTTATTCTGAAAAGATTTAAAACAACTTTTCTTAGCAAAAGTTATTTTCTTCGGATTCTTCCCAAAAAAAAAAACAACTCAAAGGCACTCATTTTGTACCCAGAAGCTTGGCCAATAAAAAATTTAACTCTCCAAAATCAACACAACACGTACAAACACTCCTAGATTCCTAAAAATCTTTATGTGCTAGTTATGTCAATATTATAATAGAATTCATGTGCGCAATAAATAAATAATATATGTATTATTTTACGATAANTATATATATAATATTTGTTTGGTGTTTTATCTTTCATAAAATTAATACTTACATAACTTCTCGCCTAAATTATGCGTATTTTAAAATTAATAATGTTGATTGAACGTTACATGCCAACCTAACGACCTTTTATTCTTTAGCTTGTTTATATTATATGCTCCATCTTACTCCAAGAGGGGTTGCTCTGATGGTAAGCAACCTCCACTTCCAACCAAGAGGTTGTGAGTTCGACTCTTCCCAAGAGCAAGGTGGGAAGTTCTTGGAGGGAAGGATGTCGGGTTTCTATTTGAAAACAGCCTATCTACCTCAGGGTAGGGGTAAGATCTGCGTACACACTACCCTCCTCAGACCCCACTAAGTGGGATTATATTGGGTTGTTATTGTTATTGTTGTTGCTCCATCTTACTCCACCTTGACTCGTTTTGCCTCCTCTCAATATCTTAAATTTCTTATTATTGAAATTAAAAGTTTCTTTTAAAATTTTATGCAATTATAATTATGAGAAGTAAATATTTTTTCCATACAACAAATTATTAATATTAAAATAATGATTATAAAGTTTTTGTAATGTTGATCGAACTAATTAAGGATTATAAGTAATTGTCTGGTTGATATAATCATTTGCAGTTCCTATCAAAGCGGATTATTTTTGGAAAGAACACATATTAGGAAGATGGGAATGGGGCAATCCAAAGGTGGCATAATAAGTATATAGGGTAATAACTTACTCTCGACAGGGACATTTTGAAGCAATTATAGAACCTGGAAGATGATTTTGAGTGGTCAACAAAGATCGTTTCCAATGCTTTATTTAGTTAGAGCCAATTTATCGTGAAAAGTAGAAAGAAATAAAACATATTTTGTGGACGTCCTAAAGCACTCACAATATCATTATAAATATACAAATCAAAACTGTAAAAGTCTAGAAATATATATATAGAAAGAGATCTGATGTGGTTGCACCACAACGTTTAATTAAGAAGACGGTCTACATTTTGATGTACAAGAAGGTTCTAGAGATTGATCTCCATTTGAGAGAAATCTGAATTATATTATGATATAATCTGAAGAGTACAATGAGCTAATCCTGTATATATACACTTTACAATTAGTACTTAATCTATAGTTATTTGATCAACTACACTGACCAATCCTGTAATTAGTTAAGGCTTCAGTCAACTTTAAATTCCACGGTCTTGAAGCTTACTTCAATCCATGAAGGGATTTATGTAGCCTACAGACTTTCTTCCCCTGGCTGGGAAATCCATGTGGCAAAGACATGTACACTTCTCCCGTGATTATACATCCATTTGATGGAAATTCCAATTTTGTGTTGCTACTAAGGCAAGAACTACTCTGATTGTTACCATTTTAACTACAGGAGAGAAGGTCTCTTGGTAGTCAACTACTTCAATCTGATTATAACCTTTTGCAACCAAACGAGTTTTGCATCTCTCAACTTCCCCGTTGGCTCTGTATTTTATTTTGAATACCCATTTGCAGCCAGTAGGAACTTTTCATGTTGGAAAGTCTACTAAGGACCATGTTCCATTTTCTTTGACGACAGTCAACTCTTGGGCCATGGCTTCTACCCATTTAGTGTCTGTTGTTGCTTCTTCATAGCTCATAGGCTCCTTCAAGCTGGTGATCTTAGAAAGGTAAGATTTGTACTTGGTTAAGACACCATTATGGCTTTAGTAGTCTTGCATTGGATACTTGCAAGAAGGTTTGGAAGTCGAGCTTGTAAATGGTCCATTACACACATAGTCCTGCATCTAGACAGATTCTTTCACATTCCTGCTTGATTTTCTGGGTTGATCTTCTGGATAGGAAGGGTGAACTACTTCTGAGGGTATTTCTCTTTGTTATTGTGGTTGTTGTGTATCTTCAAGCACTTGTAAGGATAAAGAAGATGGTGTTTCTGCGGCAGGTGTTGTCTTATGAGGGAATACATCTACAGATGGAGGACTTGTAACTTCAGATGGAGGATTTTCATCTTCAGATGATGGACATGGTGTTGGTATATCATTACTGGTATTAGGTTCAATCACTCCATTAGAAAAACCTGCAACTTTCCTTCCTTCAAAAGCTGAGGAAATATGTTCTCCATGAACTTCACATCCCTGCTCACAAACTTCACATCCCTGCTCACAAAAAAGGTGTTAGTTAAGAGATTATATAGCCTATAGCCTTTCTGAGATGAAGAATATACCATGAGAACATCTCCACTAGCCCTTGCTGCAAATTTATCTCATTCTACTAGAAATTTAGCAAAACATAGACATCTTATGGTCCTCATATGCTGTAAAGATGGTGCTCTCCCATATATCATCTCAAATGAGGACTTTACTGATAGCACTGATAAAGGGAGTCTATTGATAATATAGACTGTTGCATGTACACATTCTCCCCAGAACTTGAAAGGTAAATGACCTTGCAATCTAATTGCCCTAGCCACCTCTAGTATATGTCTATGTTTCCTCTCCACCACCCCATTCTGTTGTGGAGTGTGGACATAAGAACTTTGGTGAATCATTCCATATAATTGAAATAAGTTGTTGCATTCAAAATTGAAAAATTCAGTTCCATTGTCACTTCTCAGAATTCTGACTGTTCCACCAAATTGAATTTTTATTAAGGCAAAAAACTATTTTAAGCATACAATCACATCACTCTTGAGCCTTAACAAATAAACTCATATCATCCTACTGTAATCATCTGCTATAGTAAGAAAAGATTTGTATCCATTATGACTTGTCACTCTATATGGACCCCATACATCTATATGAATCATCTCAAAAGATTTACTTGATCTACTTGTACTCTTTGGGAAGGGTAATCTTCCTTGTTAATCTAGAGGATAGATTGTGCAATCCCTTCTTCTATCATTATTGATCTTGAACTTTATGTTTGGAATTTGTTTCACCGCTTTATCTGGAGCATGCTCAAGTCTCCCATGCCATATTCTTAGATCCTCTTCCTTTTTAGAATCATCATGTGCTTGCACAGCTGCAAGCTTGATCTTATCCTTCTGATGCTAGAGATTGTACAAGCCATAAAGTTCCTTACCAATCCCCTTCACTTTCCCATTATGAAGGTCTTTCATGATCCAAAACACAGGATAGAAAGACAGAAAGCATTGTAAGTCCCTTGTAAGCTTAGAGACAGACAATAAGTTGTATTTAAAATCTGGAATATAGAGCACATTTCTAATGACACCACATTCATCAATTTTACTTTCTCCAGTACAAGCAATATCTAATGAAGTATCATCAGGTAAATGAACTTTAGATGCAGACTTTAGACTATCAGTGTTTATCTTGTCAAGTAATTCTCTGGTGTGAACCATATGATTGGTTGCACTAGAGTCTACTATCCACTTTTTATTATTTATTTTGTCATGTGTTGTAGTGTCCTTAGTTATACCTGCAAAATGTTTTGAATTATCGCCTGCTTCTTTGCTAATCATTTTTAAAATTTGATCATACTATTCCTGAGTGAACATAATTGGCTGAGGCAGTGTAGGATTCCCAACTGGAGAGTTTAGTATCTGTTGTCCCTCCTGAGATACCGCATTTGTTGCTACTTTGCCCATCAACTATTGTGCTTCATGTGTTGTGGTGTTGACCATTGGGTTGAGGGAAATTGTTGGTTTTCTTCCTCATTTTAAAGTCAGTTGGATAGACATGTATCTTGTAACATGTTTCTCTTGTGTGGCCTTTGTAGTTGCAGAAATCACAAAATAGATTGTTCCTTCTAGGTTTATAATTGTTGCCTGTGGTCATACCCCCTTTATTAGTAAACAATATTGTACTGTCTCCCGTGTCTAATGCTTGTGCAAACTTTCCCAGGATTCTTTGGATTTCTTCGGAGATTACCATGGAATATGCCTTGTTGAAAGAAGGCACTGGGCTCATCATTAGAATTTGGCTTCTAGGCTGCGCATATGTCTCATTTAGGCCCATCAGGAACTGCAACAACCTTTGATATTCAAAATGCTCCGAATAACTTTTAAATTCTGGACAATCACACCCAGGACAGGGCATCAAGGCATCATATTCTTCCCATAGATCTGTTAACTTCGAAAAATAGGCGGACACAGTAGAAATTCCTTGCGACAGAGTTGCAATTTCTTTATGCAGAAA